AAGGGAGGTGACCTGGTATGTTGCAGTAGTGCCTTAATCTTAACAGAGGCATTACTCATCTAGGGAGTGAGGCATGCTAGATAACTGTATGAAGTCGAAAAAATAACTAAATAGCGAGGTGTTTCTGATCCACATAAACTTTGGCAATCTTCCATTGAGTCCTATTTTGAGATCCTGTCCTTCCCGGTGCTGCACGACTAGACAATTACAAAGATTCTTCGTCTAGCTATTACCCCATGAGATAATTCGCGAAGGTAGGAAAGGAGTTAATGCTAAGCTAGAAAAAGAAGGAAAGTCTGAGAACGGCAGGCTTAAGCGTACCGGCCCTTTGCTTAATTACGCGGCTGCGTAAGAAGGTGATTACCAAGCATTATGGTACTAATCGATCTGAACCGATAGCAGGAAAGACACAGACTACAACAGTGGGGGCAATCGTATCCAGTATTACGATCAGGGCAATCTATCTTACGTATGAGTTCGTAGCCAAAATATAAGGATCTTGGATATCAACTGTTGTCAAAGCGAACGAGCAGCATTCCCAGGCCGTAAGGACTATGACTGACCGCAATGCCATGGACGATGGTCCTAGTCCTTTCAGTCTTTGGTAGCATCCAGGTTTAAGCTGCCAAAAGTAGAAAGACAGCAAGGCTTGCCCACTGTTTCCTTGATTTGGATAGAACTAGGAAAATAAAACCTCGACAAATAAGGGATTTTCTTGTGAAATGATGAAAGGGAACAAAAAATATTTGACAAAATTATGGTCTGTCTAGAACAAAAAAGGCAGTCAGTTGGAAAGGGAAAGGAATGGAATGGTTTCGAGATTTTTAAAATATCCCAATCAAAATCATAATCTTTGAAAGGGAATTAGTGGCGTGTTCTCACCTAGGACAAAACGCTCCTTTCCAATGCTGTACATCCCGCATACTACAAGTGTGTCGGGGTCGGAGAGGAGGAATTCACGAGTCACCCGTACAGCAGCGGCGATGACGGCATCCTGGGTAGGAAACCCATAAATGGGACAGCAGTAACTACGAGGAAAAGAAAGGTGTTTTAATGACCGTCGTGGTCAGACGATGCGATGATTTTAAACATTTCTAACTTTAAGGCCAACTTGCAAAAAATAAGTAGGACGCCTAGATAGGCTAAAAGGCATGGCACTGTATTCGGTGGCGTTCCAGCATTGTCTTACGTGGTATCTAAGAAAAGAGTAGTTATCCGTGCAGTGGAAGAGGGCACCGAAGATTGTATATAGTGTTTCAAAACGCTACATGATTCCAGCATCCATGATTGTGCTCTGAAGTCACCTGTGTGGAGGACCACTTTATTCTGCAGTACTAAGCGGAAGAGGATCATAACGGAACCGGGACAACTAAAATAAGAAAAAAAGATCTAGAAGATCACAGGAAAGCGGTTAAGAACAGCATATTTTCATATAAACTTTTTACATGGCACAAAGTATGAACGGCTTTCAAGCAGTTTTAATGTTTGCACTATAATCTGTGATCCGATCAAAAAATTCGAAGGATTTGGAATTATTTCGAAAGATCTGGGAACCTGCAAAAGGCCCTACCATGGTAGTAGATAAATGTGAGAGTGACAATTACAAATAAATGGAAAATAAACAGCAGGCTAAAGATAAAAATGAGTTTTAGAGCGAAAATGAGTCCGTGTTTAAATGCCTCGCTGACGGGATTAAAAAACATTTAGCTACACCAAAGTATTAACGTTTAATTTCTAAGAAATACGGCTTTTCGGTCACGTTTGCCTACATAAGAAAATGTGAGATAAAAAGTACAAGCAAGCTTATTGCATGGAAACTTCAAATCAGGCAAAATATCACTAAAGACAATACGCACTAATAACTCCACTCTTGCTTTAAATTATAACAACACAATGTCATGATTTGGTTGAACGCCACTCGACGGAAATAACACATCCTGTGTACAGGGAAATAAGCTCGAATGCCATCTCTTAGTGTGCAGCTGACGACAACTACTCAACCTGAAACCGGACAAGCCTACATTTGAGGTCGTTTTCGTTCGTATGCAGACATCAGGTCGCGCTTCGCACGCCTCGACATAGTTTTGGCCGAGTTAGCTACTACGCCCACGTCCACCTCCATTTATCGTACCCTTATGTCGTTATTGAAACGTGGCGAGTGTCGAAGGAGTGGGTGTGGTAGTGTGAAGGTTTTCGTCACTACTACCATATTTGCGTGGACGTCCGCAATAACCAAATCGTATATTGCGCCCAGGAATTGTTACCCTCCTCGTAGCATGAAACGCACATACTGTTGTTTCAGTAATAGGCGTGACTAGGAAATTCTCTGTGTGCGATCCCTCTCTCCTTCCCGCATTTCAGCAAAGGGATATCCTGCTGACACCTTACTTTCATCTTTAGACGCACAGACTTCCTGTTAATTCGGATTCGAGGGAGTCTTTAGGATGGAGTTCGGTACCTCCAATGGAGAAAAAAGCCCTGTAAATATTAAAATAGTACTCAAGCTGCACATTTATACGGCAAGTATATCTAGCAGAATATGGCCGCCCATAGACAAGTAGTGGCTGAACGGGGAAAGGGACGAACAGTCGCTTCTCTCGCTTAGCAGACAGAGATTCAGTAACCGGACAACCAGACTTAAATGGACGGTCCACGCACCACTGGAGGATATTTCGCATCTTTCGCTTCTTGTTATTCAACGGCGCTAAGCAGGACTCCATATATGCGGCAGTGTGAACTGTATATTTTACTGAATTCCAGCCTCAATTCAGCTTGTTCTACAAGATACCTGCATGCTCAATAAAAAGTGCCCCATCATTTACAGAAAGCAAACTGATTTATCTTGCGAGGGGAACTGTGCAAGATAACAAAATACGGATTATGTGAGCACCTATTAACTTTATTTTGATGAACGTTAACATATTGTTCACCGTAGTTTTCATAGTAGCACTTTATACCATAGCTTTCGCCCAAGTGCGGAGAGCGCCGAGCGATGGGACTGCTAGCAAGCGTTTTTGTCAAGGGGAGTCAGTTGAGATGTTGATTCACGATGGCTCGTTTTCGGGCCAGCACTTCTCGAAAAAAGCGTACATTTACGACCGTTCCGAAGGCGGGCCTCCTTAACGGCGCTAACCTGATGTCCCAGTAAGTAAACAAATCCCTCATTATTATCCTACGTTTCTGAATAACTTTCAAATACGATTCCGGAGAATGCCAAGAGATCCCAGCGCCATCCTGCACAGTTGCTCTGCAGAAGACTTAGGATATTTATTTTAAATAACCTGGTAGAGGTGAAATAATGCTTATGTGTCGCTGTTAATGTATATATTGAGTTGTTTCTTGTTTAAAGATACTTCTAAAAGCAGACTAGACCTCGATAGTATTATCCCTTCTCATACATCAAATATTCTTTATATGGTTTTTTCGACATAATCCGTCCATACGACAGGCCACGTTGGGCCAAAACGCAGGCTAAACTGGATCATGTCACGCGTAGATCGTGCTTGCGAACGCCTAAATACTGTCTCATGTGCGCGTGTGGCAGGTCCTGCACGTGGGGCCTTCACGGCACGTCAACCGCTGAG